GGTAAGCAGTACGGACACGAGATGAGGTGAAGTTGCTGCCAGACACTCGAACTCCTCCTGCCTGTCCTCAAGGACGTCCGTGCAAAGGGCACACTCACCCCCGACGGACGGAGGACAGACAGACTCAGACTGAGCGACAAGACTAGCAGCGTAGTCTAGGCGAGAGCGAGCAGCAATGTCGACGAGCTCAGCAACAAGGGCAGACGCAGCAGAAGACTCGAAAGAAGGGTCACTGACGGCAGTTCCAAGGAGACGCGTGATAGTAGGACTGGCAGCACGAAGAGAGTCCGACTCCGGGTCGGCGAGAAGCAGGAAGAGAGGACGCAGGAGGAGAAGGCAAAGGGGCACGCAAAGGAGCAGTAGACATCTGGTGCGTGCCAGGGACAGGCGGAGGACGCTGACGCGAACTGCGACAACTAGCGCGAGAAGCACGAACAGGCGACGCAGGACAAGACGCAGGCTCACGACGCTCAGTAAGACCTCCAGTAGGACCAGCGTAGGGAGAAGGAGCAGGCAAAGGGGAGGCAGGCTGTAGCTGTGGCTGTGACGGGACAGACTGGGGACCCTCCAAGGGAGGTGGAGGACCAAGAACCTGCTGCAGGAGTGGAACGAAGGACGGTCGAGGCCGCGTGGCGACGCCAGAAACAGCAAGGACAGCACCTGCAACCCCAGCAGGAGCACCCGCTTCAGCAGCACCTCCAGCATCTCCAGAACCTCCAGCAGCACCTGGAGCACTCCCAGTAGGACCGCCAGTGGTAGTCTCGGCGCCAACCCCCTCAGCAGCACCAGCTCCAGTCGAACCCGTAGGCCCAGCAGCTCCAGTACTCCCAGTACGAGCACCTCTGGGACCCGCGACAGCAGCACCCTCAGTAGCCGAAGAACCTCCAGCACCAGCAGCACGGCTCCAGCGCCGGTCAAACCACTCGCGCAGCTCCTGTGGAGAGAGTGGCTCCCGGCGAGACGCAGCACCCGGAGAACCTCCAGGCGGAGCACCTCCAGGCTCAGCACCCCCAGGCCCAGCACCCCCAGGCAAAGCACCTCCAGGCGTAGCACTCCCAGGCCCAGCACCCCCAGGCTCAGCACCCCCAGGCTCAGCACCCCCAAGCTCAGCACCCCCAGGCGTAGCAACCCCAGGCTCAGCACCCCTAGGCTCCGCACCCCAAGGCCCAGCACCCCCAGGGCCAGCACCCCCACGCTCAGCACCCCCAGTCTCAGCACCCCTAGGCTCAGCACCCTCCACAGCACCAGAGTCACCAGTGACCTCGACAGGCTCGACCGCGTCTACCTGGGACACACCTGAAGGGGTAGGACCCTGAGGGGGGAGGGGGTCTACCGGGGGGGGACCTGGTACAAGGAAGAGTGGGGGCGGGGGGAGAGACGGAGTGCGGTAGGGGAAGAGGCGGTAGTAGGAGACCGACTTGTCGAACGTGACCTCCTGGGAGGACAGAACACGGCGACAGGTGGGGCGGTAGAACTGCCACCCAGGCGCGTCGGGGGGGAACCCCAGGAAGACGCAAGGAGCAGCGCGAGGGGACAGCTTGTCCGCAGACAAGTCGCGGACAAACGCCCGAGATCCCCAGACCCGGAACGCCGACGCATCGCCAACCTTCCCCGTCCACAGCAGGGCTGGGGAGGTCTCCGGCCTGGAGACCCTGGGGTGAAGGTTGATCTGATGCGCCGCGTACCTGACTGCAAACGGCCACAGAAAATGGGGGGCAGCCGCATGCATCATAGACGTACGAGCGACGTCCATGACCATGCCAATGCGGCGCTCAACAATCCCATTTTGCTGCGGTGAGTCCGGAAGCGTGAAGGTCTGTCGGATGCCTCGTGCACGACAGTAGGCTTGCAGAAGGCCAGAGGAGAGCTCTCCGCCTCTGTCCGAGTGCAGACGCAGAACAGGAAAGTCCGAGCCAAAGCTCTGCTTGAGCTGGAGACGAGCTGCGCGGATCCAGTCGATCAGCACCTCAGTGACATCACCCTTGCTGTGCAAGGGGAAGACTGTGGTGTAACGCGAGTAGTCGTCAACAACGAGCAGGAAGTAGCGCTCGTGACCCTGTCCACGGACGCGGGCTGGGCCCCACACATCCATGTAAAGCGTCTGCAACGGGGCCTCTATCGGAGGAAACTGGGAGGAGTGAGGGGCAGCCCGCTGGCGCCCCTCGACACAGGGGATACAGGCAGGGCCAGGGCCCTGAGGAAGGGGAGGGAGGGACCGGGGGAGACCAGACATAAGAAGACGGGAGGCCATGCCTCTGAGCCGAAGCAGAGAGGGGTGACCAAGGCGGTGGTGCCAGAGGAGAGTCTCATGAGACAGGAGACGACACGAACAGGGGGCAGACTCAGGACCAGACCTGGACGCTGCAGCAAACACCTGACCCGACGCAGCTACCCTACCAGACTCAGCAACGGGAGGAGACGCAGTGGTTAGTGTGTACAGGCTCGACCCCGGCTGACGGGTAAACGTAGCCAGGTGTCGGCCTGTGCTAGCCTCTGTGCAGTGCGTCACCCGCTGGCGCGCAGGAGTGAACTGGTGGACACCCGCATCCTGTAGGTCAGCACCACTCACCAGGTTCGTAGAGAACGAGGGGAGGTAGAGACCAGACAGGGTGCCAGAGGGAGCCGCCGGACACGGGAGGACTGTGGAGAAGCGAGACAGGACAGGACCCCCAGAGGGGTCAGCCAGAGACACCGCAACAGGCCGACTAAGCGGCGTGAGTGAGGTGCGGTCCTGAAAGAAGGAGCGAGACGCTCCAGAGTCAAGGGTGAAGGTGAGGGAGGCCGAAGCCGACGTATTTCCTGAGAGCGCAGACTCGCCAGTACCTTAGAGCGCAGACTCACTGGCACCTAGAGCAGCAGCCTCACCAGTACCTAGAGCAGCAGTACCAATGCCCGGGTTGGGCAGGAAACACCGGTAAGAGTCACCCTCATCACTAATAGTCACAGCATACATGGCAGCAAGGATAGCATCAAAGTCAAGATCATAGATAGCTACGCCTGCCCTAGACAGCTCTCCCCAGCGGGGGGATCTCAGTGGCCTCCGGGAACTGCTAACGCCAAGCGTCCATAAGGCGGCCAAAGCAGCGCTGGGTGGGGTGGGCACCCCCACACTGCTCACCCGCGCGGTCGCCGGTGCGAAGGACGTAGGTGCAGGGACCAAAACCCCCACCACGCTGACGCTGCGTGTACCACTCACGGAGCTGCTGAGGGGGGGGGGGGGATGTTACGAGAACGCTGCTGCTGCTGCTGCTGCTGCTGATGCTGCTGCTGCTGGCGCTGACCACCACCAGTGCTGCTCCGCTGCGAAGCGCCACCCCGACCACCTCCACCACCTCCACCACCGCCTCCTCCACCTCCGCCACCACCGCCGCCTCCGCCGCCTCCGCCTCCATTGCTGCCACCGACACCTCCACCCCCGCCACCACCCTCACCGCCACCCCCACTCCCTCCGACGCCTCCACCTCCACCTCCACCGCCCCCGCTAGCTCCACCCGCGCCCTTGCCCCTCTTGCCCTTGCCAGAGCGGCGTCTCCCGCTAGGGGTAGACGCCGCACCGACCGACTCAAGACCAACGAGGTCGGCCGCAGCGGCAGAGGCGACAGAGGGCAAAAGGGGGGAAGGAGAACACCCCTCAAAGATGGGGGTGCGAGGGTCACCACGAGAGGCCCCTACAACGACTATGCTCTTCTCGGCCGCTAGGAGGGACTTCTCGAGGAGGTCTACAGTGAGAGTGGTGGGACAGACTGAGAGGAAGTGGTCCCTGACTACACGAAAGGAGTCAGGGAGACGAGTGACTATGAAGTAAAGAGTGATGTACATGGGGGGGGGGGTTCTTGGCGCAGAAGTCAGCAGAAAGCGCAGCGCGGTAGCGAGTGTCACTAGTGTCAGAACATTATACCTTACTTGTTTGTGTAGGCTATAGTGGGGTATCCCATAGGGGGTACAACCCAATTAGGGTTTCCTATTTGTACTCACTTCGTTCATAGTCATTTCATTATCGTTCAATTCTTCTCATGGAATCAGAGCAGGTCCCCTCCTAGGGACTGTTCATAGGGCCCACCGAAGCGCGCCCCGAGGCGCGCGTTCTTTTTTTTAGCGACCCTTCGTGTCGCCCCTAGCGGCCCGTTTAGCCGCCCTTACCTACGCGACCCCGCCGCCCTTAAGTCGCGGCCCCGCCGCACTTACGTCGCGGCCCTGCCGCCCTTTGGTCGCGGCCCCGCCGCCGCCCTTACATCGCGACCCCGCCGCCCCTACGTCGCGGCCCCGCCGCCCTTTGGTCGCGGCCCCGCCGTCTTCACGTCGCGGCCCCGCCGCCTCACCTACGCGGCCCCGCCGCCCTCACGTCGCGGCCCCGTCGCCCTCACGTCGCGGCCCCGCCGCCTTCACGGCGCGGCCCCGCCGCCTCACCTAAGCGGCCCCGCCGCTCTCACGTCGCGGCCCCGACCCTCACATACGCGGCCCCGCTGCCTCACCTTCGCGGCCCCGCCGCCTCACCTTCGCGGCTCCGCCGCCCTTACCTTGGCGGCCCCGTCGCCCTTACCTTCGCGGCCTCGCCGCCCCTTACCCTCGCGGCCACGCCGCCTTCACCTACGCGGCCCTGCCGCCTTCACCTTCTCTGCTACGCCGCCCGGTACCGGAGCGGCCTACCCGCTCAGCAACAGCCGCCGAGCCGCAGTCCAGCCGAGCCGCCCAGCAGCAGCCGCCGAGCCGCCGGGCCGCCGAACCGCAGTCCACCCGAGCCGCCCAGCAGCAGCCGCCGAGCCGCCCAGTAGCAGCCGTCGAGCCGCCGGGCCGCCGAGCCGCAGTACAGCCGAGCCGCCCCGCTGCCGAGCCGCCCTGCTGCCGAGCCGCCCGACCTGCCCTGTCTGGTGAGCACAGCCCCACAGCTACTGCGTGCCCCTTCCCACACTGCTTGCACTGCTAGTCGGTCGTCATGGCTACCCCTAGTGTCCTAGCTTTTGACGCTGAGGGTCGCGCCATTGACTTTGAGGTCTAGGTCGATGACCTCCAGCTGTTCTTACACTGCGATAGGGCAGACGGTCTTTGACCTCACCTCTGGCGCCGTCCCTGCCCCTGCTGCTGATGCTGACGCCACTGTTCGCTCACAGTGGGCCACGCGCGATGCTGCTGCACCTCTTGCTGTGCGTCGCCACCTGCCTGCCGCTGAGCGCGCGCACTTTAGTCAGTACAAGAGTGCCCAGACCTTGTACGACGCTGTAGTTGCGCGCTACTCCTCCCCTGCCACTGCTGCACTGAGCCGCCTCATGCTCCCCTTCCTTTTCCCTGACCTTGCCGCCTTTCCCACTGTCGCTGACCTCATTACGCACCTCCGCACTAGTGACACTCGCTACCGCGCTGCGCTTCCTGCTGACTTTTGCGCCAAGAACCCCCCCCCAATGTACATCACTCTCTACTTTTTAGTCACTCGCCTCCCTGACTCCCTTCGTGTAGTCCGGGACCACTTCCTCGCGGTCTGTCCCACCACCCTCACAATCGACAGCCTTGAGAAGGCCCTCCTAGCGGCGGAGAAGAGCATAGTCGCTGTAGGAGCCTCTCGAGGTGACCCCCGCGCCCCCATCTTTGAGGGGTGTTCTCCTTCCCCTCTCTTGCCCTCTGTCGCCTCTGCCGCTGCGGCCGACCTCGTTGGTCTTGAGTCGGTCGGTGCGGCGTCTGCCCCTAGCGGGAGACGCCGCTCTGGCAAGGGCAAGGGGGGCAAGGGAGCGGGTGGGGCCAGCGGGGGCGGTGGAGGTGGAGGTGGAGGCGGCGGAGGGAGTGGGGGTGGCGGTGGAGGTGGTAGCAGGGGTGGGGGTGCTAGTGGCGGCAGTGGAGGCGGAGGCGGGGGTGGTGGAGGCGGAGGCGGGGGTGGCGGTGGTGGAGGTGGTCGGAGTGGCGCTTCGCAGCGGAGCAGCACTGGGGGTGGTCAGCGCCAGCAGCAGCAGCGTTCTCGCGACGTCCCCACCCCTCAGCAGCTCCGTGAGTGGTACACGCAGCGTCAGCGTGGTGGGGGTTTTGGTCCCTGCACCTACGTTCTTCGCACTGGCGACCGCGCTGGAGAGCAGTGTGGGGGTACCCACACCGCCCAGCGTTGCTTTGGCCGCCTGACGGACGCTTGGCGCAAGCAGTTCCCGGAGGCCGCGGAGATCCCCCGCTGGGGAGAGCTGTCTAGGGCTGGTGTAGCTATCTTTGATCTTGACTTTGATGCTATCCTTGCTGCCATGTATGCTGTGACCATTAGTGATGAGGGTGACTGTTACCGGTGTTTCCCGCCCGACCCGGGCATTGGTACTGCTGCTCTAGGTGCCAGCGAGGCTTCTGCTCTAGGTGCCAGTGCGTCTGTGCTCTCAGGTACTGGTGAGGCTGCTCTCTCAGGTACTAGTGAGTCTGCGCTCTCAGGTACTTCGTCGGCTTCGGCCTCCCACACCTTCACCCTTGACTCTGGAGCGTCTCGCTCCTTCTTTCGGGACTGCACCACACTCACGCCGCTTAGTCGCCCGGTTGCGGTGTCCCTGGCTGACCCCTCTGGGGGTCCTGTCCTGTCTCGCTTCTCCACAGTCCTCCCATGTCCGGCGGCTCCCTCTGGCACCCTGTCTGGTCTCTACCTCCCCTTGTTCTCTACGAACTTGGTGAGTGGTGCTGACCTTCAGGATGCGGGAGTCCACCAGTTCACCCCTGCTCGTCAGCGAGTGACGCACTGTACAGAGGCTAGCACAGGTCGTCACTTGGCTACGTTTACACGTCAGCCAGGGTCGAGCCTGTACACACTGACCACTGCTTCTCCTCCAGTTCCTGAGTCTGGTAGGGTCCCTTCGTCTGGTCAGGTGTTCACTGCAGCGTCCAGGTCTGGTCCTGAGTCTGCCCCCTGTTCGTGTCGTCGTCTGTCTCACGAGACTCTCCTCTGGCACCACCGCTTGGGTCACCCCTCTCTGCTTCGGCTCAGGGGCATGGCCTCCCGTCTTCTTGTGTCTGGTCTCCCCCGGTCCCTCCCTCCCCTTCCTCAGGGCCCTGGCCCTACCTCTGTCCCCTGTGTCGAGGGGCGCCAGCGGGCTGCCCCTCACTCCTCCCAGTTTCCTCCGACAGAGGCTCCGTTGCAGACGCTTCACATGGACGTGTGGGGCCCTGCCCGCGTCCGTGGACTCGGTCACGAGCGCTACTTCCTGTTGGTGGTTGACGACTACTCGCGTTACACCACAGTCTTCCCCTTGCGCAGCAAGGGTGATGTCACTGAGGTGCTGATCGACTGGATCCGCGCAGCTCGTCTCCAGCTCAGGAAGAGCTTTGGCTCGGACTTTCCTGTGTTGCGTCTGCACTCAGACAGAGGCGGGGAGTTCTCCTCTGGCCTTCTGCGTTCCTACTGTCGTGCGCGAGGCATCCGTCAGACCTTCACGCTTCCGGACTCACCGCAGCAGAATGGGATTGCAGAGCGCCGCATTGGCATGGTCATGGACGTCGCTCGTACGTCTATGATGCATGCGGCTGCCCCCCATTTTCTGTGGCCGTTTGCGGTGAGGTACGCGGCGCATCAGATCAGCCTCCACCCCAGGGTCTCCAGGCCGGAGACCTCCCCAGCCCTGCTGTGGACGGGGAAGGTTGGCGATGCGTCGGCGTTCCGGGTCTGGGGATCTCGGGCGTTTGTCCGCGACTTGTCTGCGGACAAACTGTCCCCTCGCGCTGCTCCCTGCGTCTTCCTTGGGTTCCCCCCCGACGCCCCTGGGTGGCAGTTCTACCACCCCACCTCTCGCCGTATTCTGTGCTCCCAGGACATCACGTTCGACGAGTCGGTACCCTACTACCGCCTCTTCCCCTACCGCACTCCGTCCCTCCCCCCACCCCCGCTCTTCTTGGTACCAGGTCCCCCCCCGGTAGACCCCCTTCCCCCTCAGGGTCCTGCCCCTTCAGGTGTGTCCCAGGTAGACGCGGTCGAGCCTGTCAACGTCACTGGTGACTCTGGTGCTGCTGTGGGTGCTGAGCCTAGGGGTGCTGTGACTGGGGGTGCTGTGCCTGGGGGTGCGGAGCCTGGAGGTGCTGAGCCTGGGGGTGCTGCGCCTGGGGGTGCTGAGCCTGGGGGTGCTGAGACTGGAGGTGCTTTGCCTGGGGGTGCTGAGCCTGGGGGTGCTGAGCCTCGGGGTGCGGAGCCTTGGGGTGCTGAGACTGGAGGTGCTTTTCCTGGGGGTGCTGAGACTGGAGGTTCTTCGCCTGGAGGTTCTCCGGGTGCTTCGTTTCGCCGAGAGCCACTCTCCCCACAGGAGCTGCGTGAGTGGTTTGCCCGGCGCTGGAGGCGTGGTGCTGGTGCTGGAGGTTCTTCGGCTGCTGAGGGTGCTGCTGCCGCGCGTCCCGGAGGTGCTCGTACTGGGAATACTGGAGCTGCTGGGCCTGCGGGTTCGACAGGAGCTGGTGCTGCTGAGGGTGTTGGCGCTAAGACTACCGCTGGCGGTCCAACTGGCAGTGCTCCTAGTGCTGCTGGAGGTTCTGGGGCTGCTGGAGGTGCCACTGGGGGTTCTGGTGCTGCTAGAGGTGCTGCTGGAGCGGGTACTCCTGCTGGGGGTACTGGTGTTGTCTCTGCTGTTTCTGGCGTCGCCACGCGGCCCCGACCGTACTTCGTTCCACTCCTACAGCAGGTTCTTGGTCTTACACCTTCTCCTGGTCCTCCTCCTCCTCCCTTAGAGGGTCCACAGCCTGTCCAGTCACAGTCACAGCTACAGCCTGCCTCCCCTTTACTTGCTCCTTCTCCCTACGATGGTCCGACTGGAGGTCTTACTGAGCGTCGTGAGCCTGCGTCTCGTCCTGCGTCGCCTGTTCGTGCTGCGCGCACTAGTGGTCGCGGTTCGCGTCAGCGTCCTCCTCCTGTCCCTGGCACGCACCGGATGTCTCTGCGTCCGTCTACTGCTCCTCTGCGTGCCCCTTTGCCTTCTCCTCCTGCTTCCTCTCTTCCTGCTCTTGCCGACCCGGAGTCGGACTCTCTTCATGCTGCCAGTCCTACTGTCACGCGTCTCCGTGCTACTGCCGTCACTGACCCTTCTTTCGAGTCTTCTACTGCGTCTGCCCTTGTTAGTGAGCTCGTCGACTTTGCTACTCGCTTTCGTCTAGACTACGCTGCTAGTCATGTCGCTGAGTCTGAGTCTGCCTGTCCTCCGTCTGTCGGGGGTGAGTGTGCCCTTGGCACGGACGTCCTTGAGGACAGGCAGGAGGAGTTCTAGTGTCTGGCCGCCGCTTCAACTCATCTCGCGTCTGTACTGCTCACCCCTGAGGGAGACCCGGATGCACTAGACATCCCGACTCCGCGCTCTTACGCGGAGGCGATAGAGGGTCCCTACTCCTCTCAGTGGCAGGCAGCTATGGATGCAGAGATGGCTTCCTGGAAGTCCACAGGCACCTACGTTGACGCTGTCCCCTCTCCTGGGGCAAACATCGTCAGTGGCATGTGGATCTTCAGGGTGAAGCGGCCGCCGGGTTCTCCGCCTGTCTTCAAGGCGCGTTACGTGGCTCGTGGCTTCAGTCAGCGGCAGGGAGTTGACTACTTTCAGACCTTCTCCCCCACCCCGAAGATGACCACTCTTCGGGTACTGCTGCACGTTGCTGCTCACCGTGACTACGAGCTGCACTCTCTCGACTTCAGCACTGCTTTCTTGCAGGGCAGCCTGCACGAGGAGATCTGGCTGTGCCGCCCACCTGGCTTCACTGGGTCTTTCCCTCCTGGTACCCAGTGGAGTCTTCGGCGTCCAGTCTACGGTCTCCGCCAGGCGCCGCGTGAGTGGCACGACACACTGAGGACTACGCTGGCGGCGCTTGGGTTTGCTCCTTCCACTGCAGACCCGTCGCTGTTTCTGCGCACCGACACCTCGCTGCAGCCGTTCTACATCCTCGTGTACGTCGACGACTTGGTCTTTGCCACAGCTGACACTGCTGGACTCGCCTACGTGAAGTCCGAGCTGCAGAAGAGACACACGTGCACTGACCTGGGTGAACTGCGCAGCTACCTTGGCTTGCAGATCACCCGGGACAGAGCACGCCGCACCATTACCCTGACTCAGTCACACATGGTGCAGCAGGTCCTTCAGCGCTTCGGCTTCACGTACTCCTCGCCTCAGGCCACTCCTCTGCCTACTCGCCACTCGCTCTCAGCTCTGCCTTCGGATGAGTCCGTAGCGTCGAGTGGCCCGTATCCAGAGCTTGTTGGCTGCCTCATGTACCTGATGACCTGCACTCGACCTGACCTTGCATACCCTTTTAGCATTCTCGCACGCTATGTTGCTCCTGGGAGACACGGACCAGAGCACATGACTGCAGCGAAGAGGGTGTTGCGCTACTTGTGCAGTACGTCGGGCATGGGGCTAGTGCTTGGAGGGCGCAGTCCAGTGGTCCTCACTGGGCATGCAGACGCTTCTTGGGCTGACGACCAGGCTACGCAGCGGTCGTCACAGGGTTACACCTTCAGTCTTTAGGGTTTAGGGTTTAGGGTTTAGGGTTTAGGGTTTCGTGGCGGGCTACTCGCTCGTCTTTTGTTCTCGGCTCCAGTTGTGAGGCTGAGATCTACGCCGGGGCTATGGCTGCCCAGGAGCTTCGCTGGCTCACCTACCTGCTGACCGACCTTGGAGAGCCGCCTCGTTCTCCTCCAGTCCTGTACGTAGACAACAAGGCCATGCTTGCCTTGTGTCGAGAGCAGCGACTTGAGCACAGGACAAAGCACATTGCTCTCCGCTGCTTTCTTGCTCGTGAGCTACAGCAGCATGGACAGTTGCGACTTGCGTACGTGGCCTCTGAGGCCAACACTGCTGATATCTTCACCAAGGCACTTGCGCCTTGTGATCATCAGCGCTTCTGCACGCAGTTGGGTCTTGTGCCTGTCTTGCCTCACTTGCTCACTTCTTGACCTTGCTTGTACCTTTACCTATATATACTCTTGCTCTTGCTTGCTTGACTCTTGTATATCTCTATATGTGATCTTGCATGTGAACTGGCCTTCTGGCCTTTGAACTTGTGCTCGGAATGTGTGGTGACTTTGTGATCCACCCTGAGCTTTGCTTTGCTTTGCTTGACTGGTCTTGTGACCCCTTGTTCTCCCCCACTTTGCCTATGGGGATGTGTCAGAACATTATAGCTTACTTGTTTGTGTAGGCTATAGTGGGGTATCCCATAGGGGGTACAACCCAATTAGGGTTTCCTATTGGTACTCACTTCGTTCATAGTCATTTCATTCTCGTTCAATTCTTCTCAACTAGTGCGGAGGTGCGTAATGAGGTCAGCGACTGTGGGAAAGGCAGCAAGGTCAGGGAAGAGGTACGGTAGCATGAGACGGCTCAGTGCAGCAGTGGCAGGGGAGGAGTAGCGTGCAACTACAGCGTCGTACAAGGTCTGAGCACTCTTGTACTGACTAAAGTGCGCACGCTCAGAGGTAGGGAGGTGGCAACGCACAGCAAGACGTGCAGCAGCATCGCGCGTGGCCCACTGGGAGCGAACAGTAGGGTCAGCATCAGCAGCAGGGGCAGGAGAGGCGCGAGAGGTGAGGTCAAAGAGAGAAAGACCGTCTGCCCTATCGCACTGTAAGAACAGCTGCAGGTCGTCGACCGAGACCTCAAAGTGAATGGCGCGACCCTGAGCGTCAAAAGCTAGGACACTAGGGGTAGCCATGACAACAGTAGACTAGCAGTACTAACTATAGGACAGGGGCAGTGCAGTGACAGAAGTGCTGCTCTCACCAAACAGGGCGGTTCGGGCAGCTCAGCAGCAACTGCAGCTCCGCAGTACCAGCGGCTCGGCTCCTCAGGCGGCTCGGGCGGCTCGGGCGGCTCAGGCGGCTCAGGCGGCTCGGGTGGCTCAGGCGGCTCGGGCGGCTCGGGTCCTCAGCGGCACAGGCGGCTCGGGCGGCTCGGCTCCTCAACGGCTCAGGCGGCTCGGGCAGCTCGGGCGGCTCAGGTGGCTTGGGCGGCTCGGGCGGTGAAGGGCGGCGGGGCCGCAAGGGAGGTGGCGGGGCCGCGGTGGTAGAGGCGGCGGGGCCACAGAGAATGGTGGCGGGGCCGCAGCAAGAGAGGCGGCGGGGCCGGGACGAAGGGCGGCGGGGCCGCGGCGAAGGGCGGCAGGGGCCGCGACGAAGGGCGGCAGGGCCGCGACGAAGGGTGGCAGGGGCCGCGACGAAGGGCGGCAGGGCCGCGAAGAAGGGCGGCGGGGCCGTGTCGAGAGAGGCGGCGGTTCCGCGTCGAGAGTGGCGGCGGGGCCGCGACGAAGGGTGGCGGGGCCGCGACGAAGGGCGGCAGGGGCCGCGACGAAGGGCGGCAGGGCCGCGACGAAGGGCGGCGGGGCCGCGTCGAGAGAGGCGGCGGGGCCGCGACGAATGGTGGCGGGGCCGCAACGAAGGGCGGCAGGGGCCGCAACGAAGGGCGGCAGGGGCCGCGACAAAGGGCGGCAGGGCCGCGACGAAGGGCGGCGGGGCCGCGTCGAGAGAGGCGGCGGGGCCGCGACGAGGGGCGGTGGGGCCTCAGTGTGAGGCGGCGGGGCCTAATCGACGGGCGGCGGGGCCTCTAGGGCGGCTCGACAAAGCGAGAGAGGGCCCGGAGCGCGACTCAGGCCGAGCGCGCTTCGGGTAGGAAAAAATATATATATATATCGATGTGGTGGGCCCTAGGCACAGTTCCCACGGGGGAACCTGCTCGATACCATGAGAAAAGTAGAACGAGAATGAATGAACTATGGAATGAAAGTGATACAAGTATGCAACCCTAGAAATGTGTACCCCATATGGGCTACCCCACTATAGCCTACAGAATATTATAATTTGACAACTATTACGAGGCTCGGCGCTCGAGTGGATTTACAACAGCAATAAGATCCGAGGCGAGGGGTCATGGACGCAGTTTCGAGAAGCATTCATTCAACGTTTTGAACCAATCAACTCCAGCTACATGGCGCGGCAGCAGATTCATCAGCATAAACAGTTTGGCAGTGTAACACAATATACGCAGCAGATGGAGAGCCTCTTCAACCGAATAACCGACCTGACCAAAAGGGAAAAAATCCAAGCGTATACCAAGGGGCTAAAGATGGAAGTCCGCCGACAGGTGATTGCCGCGAACTACAACAATTACCGCGACTTGGTATGTGCATCAGAGAGATTCGATGCATTGACTCCACGCGAACTGGAGACACGATGCCACGTGCCGAACAGATCATTTGGCACGAAGCGATCGGCACCACCCACGACCGCCGACCCGATGGACATCGACAAGATCGACGCAAAGCAGCGGCCGACAAAATCTGGGGAGTGCGAATTTTGCGGCGCAGCAGGACATCGACTCTTGGCGTGTTGGAAAATGAAGAAGGCACGAGCGGAGCTGCAGGGCAACAACAGTGTGACATCCACGATGGCGAAAAAAGGAGGACACGATGGAACGAATTTTAAACGCCACGACCGGCCGGCAACAGGGGAAATCGCCGAGACAAATGGAGGCTCCGTGAAACAAGACTCTGCACCGACTGGGAAACTCCAGCCGAACACCCCCGAGAGTAAGAATATTCCCTCTCGAGATTTTCAAGCATTTAAAAATTTCAGGGGAGATTTCAAGGCCAAGAAAAAGCCTTCAGAAATTATTCAGGTACCTGAGAAGTTGGGCAAACCACTCCGGAGCGTTGAAAAGGGTCGTGCATTCCAAGGAGTTACTATTCTCTCCCCGCAGCACGGTGTTAAGGCTCCCTATTGCCCACAAGTGAAGCCTACACAGCTGCAAAGGCTTACGGGAAGGATCCAGGCCAAGACGAAGCTGAATCGGCCTCAGATAAATCCTTCCAACCCTACTCAGTTGGAAACCGATATGGAGTCAGCAGCTTCGAGCGCAGACCTAGGGGAGATCTATTCGACGTACCCTACGATCCTATAAGCGAGACCATCTACAGTTACTCGGAGCAGCAACAACACTTCTACTCGAGGTGATCTGCAACGGGCGACGCCTCCAGGCACTGGTGGACAGCCGTGCGTCTCACTCGGACCGCGGGACATTGGAGACAAATGGAGAATCTTCAGAGGAGACCAAGTTCACGGCAACGATGGTGGACGGTACAAAACTTCCCATTCACGGCGAAGCATCACTGCAGTGTAGAATTCCACTACTATAGCAGCTTGATTGAGCTCAGAAGCACGATTCCAACGCACCAAAGAGTGCAGGAAACTGTCCACTATAGCCAGAGATACACACAAACATAGCAGTGATAATGACTTGGTTAATTTCTGGTTTGTGCTCTCTGGTTTTATACTAGGACGCAATACAAAATAAAAGCACACAAGATAGTGTCGACCCGGGTCGCACGTTGAATTTCGTCGACGCGAAATTCGGAGCCTTGAATTTCGCCGAGCGAATTCCATTGACTGGAATTCCGCAGACGAGAATTTCCGCGACAAGAATTCCGTCGACCACCGAATGTAACTCCCGTGCGAATTCCGTTGACTTGGACATTTTGCTCCCGAGTTTCAAACCGAACGCGACCCGAGATCGATTTCGCCAAACTGTCCCCAATCTGTCCCCAAACTGTCCCCAATCTGTCCTGACAAGACACTTTCGGGACACTTGAATCGAAAGGTCTCCAGTTCGAAACTCGTGTGCACCATAACCAGCGCCTTAGCAGAAACTGTCCTGAGACACTTTCAGGACAGATTTGAAGGTCACGAGTTCGAATCCCAGTGCAGACATTTTGTTGCTCATGGCAGCATTTCCTTCTAACACGCCCCTTGCTGTCAGGAGCACGCTGGACCAGCCCGGCTGCTGCACAGCATCGATTGAAGGCTGCCTTCTCGAGCCGCTTCGTGAAGAAGTCCGCTTGCTGCGCCGTTGTAGGGATGTGCTGCACCTCCAACTTCTTCATGCGCACCATGTCCTGTAGCCACATGCGGCGACGGTCCACATGCTTCATGCGCCCCTGCAGCCCGCCCGCCTGGCTGAGCTGCACCGCTGACATGTTGTCCACGTACAGGGTGGTGGGGACACCCTTCTTGAGCAGTTGAAACTCCCACAGCCACCTTGTAGGAGAGTGTGCGGAAGAGCTCATGCCAATGCGCATCGGTCCTGACGTGTGCACCTGCTGCAAGGCGACTGCATGCAAAAGAGAGGTCAGGACGGGTTGAGATGGCTGCAAACTGCACCATGCCGAGAATTGACAAGTACTCGGTCATGGTACGATTGGCAAACTGGCCGGCATCCTGCTTGGCAAAGATGGCAGAGGAGAGAGGAGTGATAGGCTGCTTCTTTGGTGGCGCCCCCTTGAAGAAACGCTGCTGCACCTTCGCCACGTACGCATTCTGGTGCAGGAAGAGTGTCCTGTTGGGGCGATCTTGCTCAATCTGCAGTCCCAGGTAGCGCTCCACTGGCTCCACCTCACGGAGCTGAAACGCCTTGGCCAGCAGCCCCTTCAGGTCCTGCAGAAGCTGCTGGTCTTCACTTGCCGCTAGCAAGTCATCCACGTAGATTAGCAGCCACACGCGCTTCCCGCTTTCCCCATCCTTGTAGTATAGGGCCTGGTCCACAAGGCTCTTCTTGTACCCCTCCACAAGGAGCACCTTGTCCAGCTCCTTGTACCATAGAAGGGGACTCTGCTTTAGCCCGTAAAGGCTTTTCTGAAGGAGGCACACCTTGCTGCTACCGTCGGTGAAGTAAGGCGGCTGCTGCATGTAGATCTCGTGGTCGATGGTGCCGTGAAGAAATGCATTCTTCACATCAAGCTGCAGCAAATCCAGGTCCATAGCTGTTGCGATTGAGAGGAGCACGCGAACGGTGGTGTAGCTGCCAACAGGAGCGTAAGTGTCGTCGTAGTCGATGCCGAATCCCTGGCTAAAGCCCTTAGCTACTAGCCTGGCCTTGTACTTCTCCACGGTGCCATCAGGCCGCAGCTTCTTCTTCAGCAGCCACTTGACGCCGACGATTTGGCGACCTTCAGGTAAGTCAGCCAACGTCCAAGTGCCTTGCTCATCAAGGCTCTCCATCTCCTCCTTCATAGCAGCCCACCATTCCTTACCTTCAGGTCTGGTCAACGCAGCTGCCAGGTCGAGGATGACACCTCCCCAAGCGCCTTCCTCCTCCTCATCCTCGTCTGGGTATTCCACTTCGTCATCGCTGTCCGTGTCGCACTCGTCCTCAGCAAGGTATGCCACGTCGTACGGGTTGTCCTCATCATCCGCATCTAGGGCCGTCATGGCTGATGGCTGAAACCGTACGGGTGGCACCCCCTTGTTAGGCCTGCTGGAGTGACGTGGGGGTGGTGGAATGGGCTGGAAGGGGGGAACTGCAGGTGAAGGCTCATGCTCATGGGCCATAGGTGACTGCTCATCCACTGCTTCTTCTTCTTCCTCCTCCTCGTGATCAGCCATGCTGGTGTCAACCTCCAGAGGACCATCCTCTGGTCCTACAGGCGTCGAATCAGCAACAGAGGGTGGACCAGGAGGAGGAGGTGCAGTAGGTGCCTTGGTGCCCAAAGGGCCCACCGAGCATTCAAGGGGTTTCTCGCCCCCTTGTACAGACGGTACCGGGACCACGATGACGGTACGTGGTGGCGGCAGATTCTGCTCGGGGTCGTGGGGCTCAGGGAAGAGAGATGGGACTGAAGCAAAGGGTGGTGTGCGCTGGTCATTCCCGTCACCCACGCGTGCACGCCACTTCTGCCACCGTTCAAGTGACATGTCCTCATAAAAACGTGCATCCCGGGTGATGACCATGCGCTTTGACTCAACATCCACCACACGCCATCCCTTACTTTCCATGCTCATGCCCAAATGAATGCCCCAACGAGTCTTGCTTGCAAGCTTCCCCTCACGCTCATGCTCAGGAATGAGGTACTGCACCATGCACCCGAACACACGGACCATGGACACATCGGGCTTGACTTTGAACACCACCAAATGAGGGGTCACACCATGGGGCAGGGTGGATTGGTGCACACAGTTTACCACCCACAAGAACTGCTAGAAAGCAAAGTGCCACCAGTGTGCTTTCACCCCCATGTGCCCCAACATCACACGCATGCCCTCGGTTACCGTACGGTTGCGGCGTTCAGCCACACCGTTCTGCTGGGGGGTCGAGGGGCGGGAGAGTTGACGTAAAATTCCTCGTTGCTTCAGCAGCAACAGAAACTCATTCGACATAAACTCCCCTCCCCGGTCCGACCGCAACACCTTCAGCGTCATGCCGGTTTGGCGTTCAGCTTGGGGAAGCCATTCCTTGAAGGCAGCAAGCGCGTCGCTTTTTAGCTTCAACGTCTTCCCCCAGGTGTAACGTGAGGCGTGGTCGACAAAAAGAATGTAGTACCTGCTTCCATCCATGGCTGGGGTCTGAAATGGACCGCACACGTCAGTATGGACCAGCCCAAGTACCTGCTCCTCTTGCTTGTCGTGCAGCGGAAATGATTCACGAGTGAGTTTGGCTTCATGGCAGGAGGTGCACGGCATATCCTCACCTCCTTTCTCCAGATCCATACCGAACATGCCACCGCTCGTGGCTGTCCGCTTCACCGCATCGAAGTGGACGTGTCCAAGGCGAGCGTGCCACAGGTTGGGCGTTGCCTTGGAGCCCACCGCGTACGTCTTGAGGCTGGCCGCTCCATATTTAGCTTCCGGCTTGCTTGACACCACATCAGCAATCTCCTTTGCCGTGCCGTTGCTTGCCGTTGCAGCCGCCGTGCCATTGCACGCCGATGCAGCCCCTGTGCCGTTGCTCGCCGCTCCACCCGCCATATCGGTGCATGCCGCTGCAGCCGCCATGCCGTTGCATGCCACTGCTGCCGTTGCACCGTTCCTTGCTGGCCCCGGTTTAAGGTCAAGGCAGTGAAGGCGATGGCGGTATCGTGCCGTTGCAGCCACTTGACCTCCTGATGCGATGATGCGAGTGACACCTTCCTCGGTTTGTAGCTTTGCTCCCTTGTCCAAGAGTTGCCCAGGGGAGACCAAGTTGGCCTTCATTCCTGGCACAAAGAGGACATCATATAGGGTCACACGCAAGCCGTTAGTGCCCTCCAGCAAAACCTCACCAACAACGGCAACTTCCTGCATAGAACCATCAAACCCTTTGACTGATTTCGTTGCAGATGGGTCACGGATCACCGTGAACCACTCCTTGCGGCCAGTCATGTGTTGGGAGCATCCTGAGTCAAGGAACCACAAGTCCTTGTCGTCGGCCAGCAACTTTGCAGCCGAACACGCGACGGTGAGCGCCACGCCCTTCCCGTCTCCTTCAGCTACGTTCGCGGCTGCCGCGAGCGTTGTATCTTTCTTCTTGTTGGTGCACTTGGCAGCCATGTGCCCCTCCTCATTGCAGTTGTAGGAGCGCCCCTTGAAGGGGGCTCGCTTCTTCTCCCGCTTGCCATCCGTCTGCTCCCTCCCCCTTTTTCCTTCCTTCTCGTTGACCCCCGTTGTAGCCACGATGGTGTTGACAGCGCCCAAGAAAGCAGATGCATCGCTGGTGATCTGCTTGTAACTCTGTTCGATGGAGAGAGTCTGCTCCTCCATCAACACCTCGCTGCACACGCGTTCCACCGTCATGTCAGGGCTGGAAATTTCGAGCTTGCGGCGAAGAAATCCGTACTCCGGTGGTAGGCCCTTCAGCACGTGGGCAGCAAACGTGGCCATGTGGACCTCCTGTCCAATGGTCAGCAGCTCCGCTCGGATGGTGCGGGCCCTATTGCAGTAGGATTCTGCTGTCTCATCGTCTCCCTTCCTGATTTGGGCTAACTGGGTCTAAAGTAGGGAAGCGTGGAGAGCATCACGAACTTGATAAGTAGACAAGATATATGCCCATGCTAGCTGCCCGGATTTCTCTTGCTGGGAGAAACCAAAGATGGGCATTCGGATGGGTGGAGAAACATATCGGTTCAGCACCATGAATGCAAGCATTTGACCCTTTCCGTACTCCCTTCGTTGCAAGGGGTTGTTTGGGGCCGGGCTTGGTGCTGTCCCGTTGCAAAACTGCCACAAATCAGCACACTAGAGCTGAGGTCGGATGGCGCTGACCCACGCGGTAAGGTCGTGCCTTCCCTCCAGCAGCGGCGTCACTGAGATGTGCTCAACTCCAAACTTGAATTGGCCATAGCTCGTGCCGATCATTCCCGTGTCAATGGTTGGTGCAAGAGCTCCTCCACCAATGCCCACAGCTCTAGGAGCCTCATGCACAGCTCCTCCTTCACCAGTTCCTCCTTGTTGGCTGCTCGTAGGTGCTTGCCCCGCCGCGCGCTCCCGAACCATGCGTAGTAGACGACCATCCACAATGAGGTCGACCTCCTCATCACACAAGTGAGGGTGGTGCTCACGAACGGACGCCTCCAGCTCCTGACGGGCATTCAGACCCTCAGCGCTCGTTAACCACTCCATGCGCAGTCAAAACGAGCGTCGGCCACACCAACGTGGGAACGAAGTGATGGGAGGACAAAATCAAGCCGCTAGTTGGATCGACGCAGATAACGAAGCTCTGATACCATGTAGAATTCCACTACTATAGCAGCTTGATAGATCTCAGAAGCACGATTCCAGCGCACCAAAGAGTGTAGGAAACGGTCCACTATAGCTAGAGATACACACAAACATAGCAGTGATAATGACTTGGTTAATTTCTGGTTTGTGCTCTCTGGTTTTATACTAGGACGCAATACAAAATAAAAGCACACAAGATAGTGTCAACCCGGGTCGCACGCTGAATTTCGTCGACGCGAAATTTGGAGCCTTGAATTTCGCCGAGCGAATTCCATTGACTGGAATTCCGTAAACGAGAATTTCCGCGACAAGAATTCCGTCGACCACCGACTGTAACTCCCGTGCGAATTCCGTTGACTTGGACACTTCGCGGCCGAGTTTCAAACCGAACGCGACCCGAGATCGATTTCGCCAAACTGTCCCCAATCTGTCCCCAAACTGTCCCCAATCTGTCCTGACAAGACACTTTCAGGACACTTGAATCGAAAGGTCTCCAGTTCGAAACTCGTGTGCACCATAACCAGCGCCATAGCAGAAACTGTCCTGAATCTGTCCTGAGACACTTTCAGGACAGATTTGAAGGTCACGAGTTCGAATCCCAGCGCAGACATTTTGTTGCTCATGGCAGCATTTCCTTCTAACATGCAGCTGCACATAGGGGCGCTGAGGTGGAAGCCGACATTGCCGATCACAAACATCAAGGGTTCAGATTTCATCTTGGGGCGAGATTTCTTAAACCGGTTCATCCCCGAGATCGATGGGGTCAATAGGAAGGCGTGCATCTACAACAGCGGGAAACGAGTGGAGCTGCAAAGCTGGACGGAAACGGGGAACGTTCCTGAAATGATACTGGCACAGTTCGAACAGACAGTGAACGAGATTAACACGGGTTACTTAGCACTGGTTATGGCGGCAGCCGAGGAGGAGAAGCTGAGTACAGAGCTACATGCAGCAGCGAAGAAGGTCTTGGAGCAGTACAAGGATATAATGCCCGACGACCTACCTGCAGGCGTACCTCCAGCACGCACCCACGAGCACGAAATCGTGGAGGAACCAGGTGCGAAACCCGTCTCACGAGCACCATACCGACTGAGTCCGACCGAACTGACAGACATGAAGAAGCAGATAGAATATTTACTGGACAGACAACTGATCCGCCCATCCACCTCTCCCTACGGTGCACCAGTTTTCTTCACTCCAAAACCAGACGGCAATTTACGGATGTGCATCGACTACCGCGCACTGAACAAACAAACAGTCAAAAACAAATATCCCATACCGCGCATAGACGACCTACTGGATCAACTGCGTGGAGCAACAGTATTATCGAAGCTGGACCTACGGCCGGTTACTGGCAGATCAAGATGGCAAACAACTCGGTCCACAAGACGGCGTTCCGTACGAGATACGGCTCCTTCGAATTCTTAGTGATGTCGTTCAGACTCTGCAACGCACCAGCAACGTTTCAAGCGGAGATGAACCACATCCTACGGCCCATGCTGGACGAGTGCGTGGTGGTATACCTGGACGATATCCATATCTACTCCAAGTACATAAAGGAGCACGTGGAGCATCTGCGGAACGTGTTCGAGATCCTGCGGAAAAACAAGTTCTACGTGAAGCTGTCAAAGAGCGACTTTGCACTGAAGAAGGTGCAGTTTCTCGGGCACATGGTGAGTGCCGAGGGCGTATACGTGGACCCGCGGAAGATCGAAGCCGTCAAGAAATGGAAATTACCGGAGAACGTGAAGGAGTTGCAGCAGTTCCTAGGCTTCGCCAACTACTACAACAGGTTCGTGCCGCAGTATGCTAAGATAGCAGCGCCATTGACCGACCTACTGAAAAAGGATACGCCCTACAAATGGGATACTCCTCATCAGCAAGCCATGGAGCAGCTACAGACAGCACTGACTACAGCGCCAGTACTCATCCTACTAGATCCAGATAAGGAATACGTGGTGGAAGCAGACGCTAGTGACCAAGCAGTCGGAGCAGTACTGATGCAAGATCACGGACGCGGTTTGCAGCCCATCGCCTAGCTCAGTAAGAAGCTACACGGAGCAGAACTGAACTACCCCATCCATGACAAGGAAGCCTTAGCGATAGTCATAGCCTTCAAGGCGTGGAGGTGTTACCTAGAGGGAGCCAAGACTACAGTATATACTGACCACTGCAGTCTCAAATACCTGAAGTCACAGCTGATGCTATCACGACGACAGGTGCGGTGGGTGGACTTCTTGGAAACCCACTTCCACTACGACATCGTCTACAAGCCCGGGATACACAACAAAGCAAACGCATTGAGCCGCCCCGGACATGTAGCAGGCATTCAGCTCGACGGGATGAACCCTCTGCTCAAGGGTCTATTCCAACATGGGTACTCCGTGGACGCAGAGATCGCTACAGCACAGACCAAGAAGCTGTTACAGTGGGAGAGAGACTTAACTATAAAGAAGGGTTCAGGAAAGATTTGGGTACCGAATTACGCCCCGCTACGGCAGATCCTATTGGAAGAGTTTCACGACGTACCATACGCGGGACATTTCGGGAGCAACAAGACGTTAGCTGGAATAGCAAAGTATTATTACTGGCCCGAGATGGCAGCAGACGTGCAACAGTTCGTCACCTCTTGCGACACGTGCCAGCGGATGAAGAGCAGCAAGTAGAAAAAAGCAGGGTTACTTCAACCTCTACCTGTACCGGAGCAGCCATGGCAGGTCGTTAGCCTCGACTTCATAACACGACTTCCTTCGACCTCACGAGGGCATAACGCTATACTCGTAGTGATCGACAAGTTCTCCAAAATGGGTCACTTCATCCCGACCAACGCCACAGCTCCAGATGAAGCAACTGCTCGCCTCTTCTTCGACCTCATCATCACCATCCATGGCATCCCCGCTACACTTATGTCAGACAGAGACCCCAAATTTACAAGTAAGATCTGGAAGGAGCTCATGGGATTATTGGGGACCAAACTTGCGATGTCCTCAGCATACCACCTAAAGACGAACGGACAGATAGAGCAACTCAATCAAGTGGTTGAACACTTATTGCGCACAGCTTCCAAGGACGACGTCAGCCACTGGTACACATAGTTACCGACCCTAGAGTTCGCTTACAACAACGCATCGCATGCGGCCACAGGGAAAACTCCTTTCTTCCTGTGTTACGGACGGGAACCACTCACACCACAGCAGCCAACCACACCGGCACATGTCCAAGCCGCACACGACTTCGTCACCACCATGCAGCAGCTATGGGAGAAGACTCAGCGACGTCTCACCACGATGCTAAACTCCCAGAAGCAGTATGTCGATCGCCAGCGACGTGATCACTCAGTAGCAGTCGGAGATCAGGTGCTTCTTGACACGCGCAACTTGAACCTGTCTCACCTCCCATCCAAGCTCCGGCCTCGCTTCTGTGGTCCTTTTCTCGTTGAGGCACAAGTGACACTAGTAACATTCCGGTTGCACTTACCTACTACGTGGAAGCTTCACAATGCTTTCCATGTTCAGCTACTGAAGCCCCACAAGGACCCCAACCTATTGTTCTAGGGACGGCAGCTACCGCCACCACCACCTGTTCTCATACAGGGATGAACCCGAGTACGAAGTGGAGCGCGTTCTCACTCATCGACGCCGCGGCGGCAAGACCCTCGAGTTCTTGATACGCTGGAAGGGATACGACCCCACTGAGGACAGTTGGGTTGCAGAAGCTGATATGGGCAACACACGTCGTGCTCTCAAGGGCTATCTTGTCAAGCAGGGTGTATCTCACGCCACCCAGCTTTGAGGGGGGGACGTGTGAGAGTACGACGGTTTGTTTCAGCTATGCTTGCTTGCCTTTACTTTATTATGCTATTTCTAGCATAGGATAATCATATGCATGCATGAATTGCTTGATTTCCTAAGCTAGGTGCCTTTCCATATTATATTATAGTTATAGCACCGAGCTAGGTTGCGTGCACCAGATTCTGGGCTTTTCGATTGCCACCGAAACGCTTTCTACCGAATTCGGGAAGGCTCTGTTTGGGACGCTTCGCGACCCTCAGAACCTTCGCGTAACACCTGGTTACGGGGCCTTGTGTCGAGCCTATATATAGCCCCGTGTTGTACCCACGTGATCAATCAATTACAATTCACTTTTCTGAGCTCGATCCTAGATCCTCACAAGTAGCACCCGAAGAGTGGTCATCTTTGGGGTGGGAGAGAAGGACTTAAAGTAGTCAACTCCCTGCCGCTGACTGAAGCCTTGAGCCACGTAACGTGCCTTGAAGAAAGGCGGAGAGCACGGCGGCCGCTTCACCCTGTAAATCCATATGCCACTGACAATGTTCGCCCCAGGTGGGGGAACCTCGTCATCGTAGGTGCCTGTGGACTTCCAGGAAGCCATCTCTGCGTCCATGGCTGACTGCCACTGAGAGGAGTAGGGACCCTCTATCGCCTCTGCGTAAGAGCGCAGAGTCGGAATGTTCGGTGCATCCGGGTCTCCCTTAGGGGCAATCAGCATGGACACTAGATGAGGTAAAGCAGCAGCAAAACACTGGAACTCCTCCTACCTGTCCTCAAGGACGTCCGTGCTAAGAGCACACTCACCCCCGACGGACGGAGGACAGACAGACTCAGACTCAGCAACAAGACTAGCGGCATAGTCTAGACGACAGTGAGCAGCGAAGTCGACATGCTTAGCAACTAAATCAGACGCAGCAGTGGATTCAAAGAAAGGGTCAGTGACAACAGTAGCCAGTAGACGCGTGACAGTAGGACTGGCAGCACGAAGGGAGTCAGACTCCGGGTCAGCAAGAGCAGGAAGAGAGGACTCTGGAGGAGACGGCAAAGGGACACGCAGTGGAGAAGTGGAAGGACGCAGTGCCATCTGGTGCATGCCTAGGACCGCAGGAG